CCCCCCCCTCCTCCCTCTCGTCCTTGGCCAGGCCCTTTCCACCCCGCCCGCTGTGTGCGCAATTCCTCTTATCCCGTCCCGTAGATTTCTCCCCCCCATCATCATCCTCTTCCTTCCCTCCCTCTCCTTTTCCCCCCCTGAACAAATCTGCCCCCTCTTTCTGCCGACAGCGGGGCACTCGACGCGCTCGATGCCCTTCGCCTCATCTTTCTTCACGTCACCGACGGCCTGACAGAAGGGCGAATCGGCGTCGAAACGAAGAGCATTGCAGGAACACGGAAGGCAAGGAGGAGGGGCCGGGAGGCGTGGGACGGGACGAGGGGAGAACGCGACGGAAACCGACGGGACACGAGGAGACAGGGGAGAAGGAAACAGGAGAGGAAGAGCGGAGAGGATTAGGATGGGCGATAGAAAGGAGAGGAGGGAGGACGAACGGGATTGGGGCGTGAGGGGACAGGAGGGGACGGGAGGAGGAGAGGGGCCTTTCCTCCTGCGAACCCTCGTAGCACTCCTCTCCTCCCCCATGATGCTCCTCCTGATGCCACCTGCTTCCTCCTGCCCCTCCTCCTCCTTCCTCCTCCTTCTCCTCCTCCTCCTCATCATCATCATCATCATCATGATGATGATCATGATCATGATCATGATGATGATCATCATCATCATCATCATCATCAACATCATCATCATGATGATCATGATCATGATCATGATCATGATCATGATCATGATCATGATCATCATCCTCATCATCCAGTTCCATCCCACGTTTTTTCCTAAGAGAGGACGCCTCGAGGATCTCACCCGTCTCTATCCGGCACACGACCTTGGACTTGGCCACCTGCGTGCGCGGGTTCGGCGATGACGTCAACGTTGGCGATGAGAGCAAAGACGAAGACGCTAAGGATGAGCGTGGCGACGGAGACGAGGATCACGACGACGACAACTGGCCATCGCTCGGACGTCCATTCCCTGTGTTGTTTTCGGTTTCGTGCGTGGTTTTTCCGCCAAATGACCAAGGATGCTCCTCGATGGTCCTCGCCGAAGGAAAAATGCACACGTCCGAGCGATGCCAAGACAACGGATCACCTCTAATTACCCCCGTCCGTTCCTGACTCCACCCGTCCAGCCATCTCCCTGCACCGCTGAGGCGACACAGCCTTCACGCGCCCTCCTTGACCTCCGACGTCGCGATTGTTTCACGACGTGGGGCCAGAAGCCCCGTCCCCGGGACTGGCTTTGTATGCGGACCGTCCTCTGGTGGCCCTGGGCTCCCGCGGACGGCTTTGGGCGGCCGAGTTCGCCGAGAGACGCCTGGCGCTCTTGTTCTGCTGCTTCCCACCCAACCCGCTGGGTCTGTCAGGTCTTAAGGCAAAGGGGGCCTGACCGCACCGCATGCTGCGCAGAGAGGCCCCCAGAATCCCGGTGGTCCTCCCCCCCCCCGCATGCTGGAACTTGACAGGACTAGAACAAGCGAAAACGGCAGGTCATGCCAGGACAATGGCAGGGGAAGGCGACGGCCAATGACAACCATGACGAGCACTGGACGATGCCAGACGAAAGCGACCAGCTACTTGTTGGTCCCCTCCCGACACGCTGGGGCTGAGGAGGAGGAGGAGGAGAAGGAGGACGAGGAGGAGGACCCGACAGGCTGCTGCGGCTGTTTGAGCTGAGGCAGAGGGTTCCCGACCCGCCTCGCCCGCCCTGCATACCACGGCCGGCAGGCGGCAAGGGTCCGAGGGGTGCCTAGCTATCCCGCCTCGCCCGCCCTCCCAGTGGTCGAGGTGGTGCCTGGCTGTCCCGTCTCGCCCGCACTGCATACGGCGGCGGGCCTCAGGGATCGCCGAGACGTCAATGTTGAGGGATGAAAAAGCGACCCTACCCTGTAAACCTCCTGGGAACCCCCAAAGCCTAGAGCCGCCAGGACGCGGCACACCACGCAGGGTTTACCCTGTCAGCCCACAGGAGTTTCAGCGCACAGCGCCTCGTAAGCCAGGGTAGGGGCGTTTTTTTCTGCCCTTGACAATGACGACATCTTCAACACGTATTAGAACATGCGTGTCCAACAGACAACCCCAGCAGCAAGGGGCGTCCCGCCGTCTTGGCGTCACGACGTCCACAATGTTCGGAACATAGTTCAAGAACGTACAAAGGGAGTCTACACCAATAACATATACTCGGAACATTCGGGAGACACAGATATTACCATACATACAGCAATAACACACAGCAGTACCATCCATCAAGACTGCACGCCACAAGCAGGCACCACTAACATGTACCAAGACTCGATGCTGAACACCGCGAGCACACACCAAGAACATGAACGACACACACATACCAAGAGAAGACACCAACGAATTGCACCGAACACATACACCGAAAACGCATTTCAATCACATACGCCAGTAACCGTGACCAATACTGCGCACAAGCGACACACATCAAACAACCACGCACAACATGCGTTCAACTATAACCGACGAAAGCACACGTTCAAAACAATCCCAACACCCCTTTGGGCGACAGGTGGTCTAACGAGAGTCTCTTTCCTCTTCCACAACCCATCTTCCCTTCGGGGAGGGGAACCCTCACCCTCCACTCCCCTGATTTTTGTTTGGGGGGGAGGGGGACCGATGTGCCAGGGGGTCCTTTTTGGCCCAAGAGTTGCGCAAGGAACGGCTATGACGGCGCCGGCTGGGGCTGCGCGCATGATCGGCGCCGTGCGGGCCCATCGGGCCAAGCTCCACGCCGGCACGTCGGCGTTCGAACGCACAGAGCTCGTGCGCCAGGGTCGCCCAGCCGAGATGCCGAAGAGAGCAGGCTGAGGCTCAGACCGCAAATGGGTGGATGGGCTACAGCGAGTGCTGGATGGAGGGGTGTCCATGGATGGGTGGATGTAAGAGAGGAAGGGAGCGAGGGAGGTGGCCGCCCCAGTGGCGGATCCCAAGCAGGCGGGCGCTCTCCATCTAATGGTATACCCAGGCACCCTGAAGTGGCCTCCTTGCACGCCTGGCCCCAGTGACCACGCATCCTGAAGATGGACGGGCCCTGGGGCCGCGGGGGGGGGGGGAGGGGGGAGGGGAGGGAGGAGGAAGGGAGGGAGAGGAGGGGAGTAGGGAGGGGAGGGGGGGAAAGGGGCGAGAGGAAGCAGCGGAGGAGGGGCGAGGAAGAGGCGGAGATGGCGGATAGGAGGGCAGGAGGACGGAGGAACGCGGGGAGCGAGGATGGGGAGCGAGGGAGGGACGGCAGAGAGGGCAGAAGGCAGCCCGACGGGCGCTCGACCCCGAGGCCCGCAGCAGCGGGCCGCGAACCCCTCCACGGCCCGGCCAGGCGTGGGTCGGAGGTTGGGGGGTGAGATCGCAGTGGAACGGAGACCCCCAACCGGGAAATCGTTTCGTTTCGTTCGTGTCGTGCGTGCGGGCGAGGCGACGCTGCGTGGGCGCGCGAGAGGAATGAACCCGCCATTGCTAGGGCGAAGTCAAGACAAATGATTATACCCCTCCCGCCCGTCCGGCGGTGGCCCGCGGTGTCCCGCGGTGTCCCATGGTGTCCCGTGGTGTCCCGTGGTGCACGCCGTTGCTAGGGCGAAGCAAAGACAAATGATTATACCCCTCCCACCCAGCCAGCGGTGGCCCGCGGTGTCCCGCGGTGTCCCATGGTGTCCCTTGGTGTCCCGTGGTGTCCGCCGTTGCTAGGGCGAAGTCAAGACAAATGATTCTCCCCCGCCCGCCCGTCCAGCGGTGGCTTGCGGTGTCCCGTGTTGTCCCGCGGTGTCCCGTGGTGTCCCGTGGTGTCCCGTTGAGTGAGATCGATAATGAGATCGATTGTGAGATCGATAGTGAGATCGAAAGTGAGACCGATAGTGAGATCAATATTGAGATCGATGTGGTGCCCCGAGGTGTCCCGTTGTGTCCCAAAAAGTGAGATCGATAGTGAGAACGATAGTGAGATCGACAGGTGTCCCGTGGTGTCCCGTGGTGTCCCGTTGAGTGAGTTTGATAGTGAGATCGATATTGAGATCGATGCTGAGATCGAAGTGGTGCCCCGAGGTGTCCCGTGGTGTCCCGTTGAGTGATATCGATAGTGAGATCGAGAGTGAGACCGAAAATGAGATCGATGTGGTGTCCCGAGGTGTCTCGTGGTGTCCTATGGTGTCCCGCTGAGTGAGATCGACAATGAGATCGGTAATGAGACCGATAGTAAGATCGAGAAGTGTCCCGCGAAGTCCCGTGGTGTCCCGTTGAGTGAGATCGATAGTGAGATCGACAAATCTCCGACGGTGTCCCGCGGTGTCCCGTGGTGTCCCGTTGAGTGAGATCGATGGTGGGATCGACTGTGTCAGATGTTGGTTCCCCCCCTCCTCCCCTCCCTCAACCGCCTTATCACCTGAAGGGTGGTCGTATATGACTACCTACCAGACCACCCCAACCCAACCCGAAGACCCGAATTTGACCCGAACTTCGGGTTGGGGGGGGTACGGGCTCCATGTGATTTTTCAACGCTCCCCGACCCCCCCCCCACTGGAAATGGAGGGCGAATTGAGGCCTTCGGGTTGGGTTGGGGTGGGTTGGTAGGTGGTGAGTATAGATATCTACACATGGGTCGAGGAGAGAGGGCAGCGACGAAGAGCAAAAAAAAGTCTTGTGCGACAAGCCACGGCCTCCCGGCGCGGTGCCTTTTGCGAGGGCCACAGGCGCGGCAAACCGCGCGGAAGAAAGGGCGCGCGCGCGCGAAGCCTTACGCCAGCAGCCTGCGCGCAACTGCCCGCGCAGTCGGCCCAACCTCCTTCGCGACGAGAAGAGGAAGAAAAGGAGGGGAGGTGGGATGAGTACGACGCGGGGGGATGGGGATGGGGGGGAGGGCAAGAGGCAGAACATTAGAAGGGCGCAAGGCGAGAAGGAGCAGGATAGCGCGGCGGCGATTTTGTTCTCTGCACGGGGTCTCGCTTGAATGAGGCACGTCGGAGCTCCAATAGCCCTCCGCCCGCTCACATCAGCATGTCAAACGCAACTGGGGATCAATTTTCCCTGCGCGCCTCACAAACGACTGCACTGCGCGAACATCGCAACGCAAACGCAGACCTGAACAACAACTCCGGTGAAGAAGCAACCTACGCCGTATATTCACGGGGAGCGCACTTGTTTTACTCTTTACAGTCATAGGCGCAGCGCAAGCGACTTGTCCATGCCCTCCTCTTTCACAACCAGCGACGCCAGCGTGCCCTCGTGCTTCTGCCACGGCTACGTTGCCAGGCTGGCACGGGAAATCTGGGCAGCGCTCCAGCAAAAGCGGACCCGCGGTGCAAGGATAGCCCCGCACACGTGAACGGTTTTTTTTTCAAGAGACCAGGCGTGCTTCCTGGAGATCCCGAGGCCCCTACTGTCGCACGGACCTCCTCCTTTAGCCCCTCCTCCTCAATTCCTCTTGTTTCTCCTCCCCCTCCTCCGATACATGTTGTTGGTCGACTCGCCAATGTCCAGGATTTTGCTGTATACCGCATCCACCCCGCCCCAGTCGGACTCCACCTCCCGTGGCCCGCATACCAGACCCACGACGAAGGCCCTCGACCACCCCCCGAGGGCTTTTGAGTACAGACTATATGCTGTCGGGTGTTTGGACGCCCGAAATGGGCACGGAAAACATGGGTACAATGCCCAACAACAAATGTTGGAGGGTGCGCCGCTGGATCTCCCCAAAAAGGGGGGGGGGGACCCCCCCCCCTTCCGATCCGTCGTCGGGGACCCCCCCCTTCCCCCCCTTTTCCCCGTCGTCGGGGACCCCCCCCCTCCCTCTCTTTCCCCGATCCGTCGTCGGGGAACCCCCCACCCCTCCCCCCCTTTCAAAAGGGGGGGGGGGTCCGACCCCCCCCTCCTCCCCAACTTTGGCCGCAAAACCCCCCTCTCCCCCTCCCCCACTTTCGCCACGCCGCCCCCGGATTCCGGAACCCGGCTCCCGCCACCCCGACCCCAAGTCCTCACCCGAACGCAAACCCCTAATCCGAACCCCAACCACTAACTCCAGCCCAAAGAGGATTCACTACCCATTACTCACTACCCAGTACTGACTTCTCGCTATTCGCTAACTCACTTCTCACTACCCCCTACGCACTACCCACGACTCACTACTCACTATCCACTACCCACTACTCGCTATTCACTACTCTCTACTCACTACTCCCTCCTCCTTACTCACTACTCACCACTCACTCCTCACGACCCACTACTCAATATTCAATACTCACTAAGCACTACTCATTACTCCCCACCCACTTCTCACTAATCACTACCCGTTACTCACTACCCACTTATCCACTACTCACTACTCACATACCACTACTCACTACCCACTACTCGCTACTCGTTACTCCCTACTCCCTACACAAAACTGACTACACAGTACTCAGTACTCACTACTCGCTACTCCCATACTCGCTACTCAATACTCACTACTCACTCCCCGCTCTCACTACTCACTATTCACTACTCCCTGCTCACTAGTCACTACATAGACTCTAATCACTAGTCACAACTCACTAGTCACTAGTTACTAGTCACGACCCACTACCCAGTACTCACTCCACTTCTTACTACTCACTGCTCCCTACGCCCAACTCCCTAATCACCCCTCACTACTCGCTACTCCCTACTCGTTACTCACCAATCACTACCCACTATTCACTGCTGACTACTCTCTACTCGCTACTTCCTACTCGCTACCCCCTACTCGCTCCTCAATACTCACTACTCGCTACTTCCTACTCGCTACTCACTACCTACTGCCACTACCCACGACTGTCTATTCATCACTCCTCACTACTCACTACTCACTACGCACTACGTACTGCTCAGTACTCAGTACTCACTATGCACTACTCACTATTCACTACTCGCTACTCACTACTCCATACTGACTACTCACTACGCACTACTCACTACTCACTACTCACTACCGCACTACGCACCACCCACTACTCACTACTCACTAATCACTACTCCCCACCCACTACTCACTACCCTTTACTCACTACCCACTACTCATTACTCCCTACTCCCTACTCAGTACGCGCTACGCACTACCACGTACTCACTACTCACGATTCACTACTCGCCACCCACTACTCACTACCCACTACTCACTACCCACTACTCACTACTCCCTACTCAATACTCACTACTCCCTTCTTGCTATTCACTACCCACTACTCACTACTCGCCACTCACTACTCACTGATCAATACACACTACTCACTATGCACTACTCACTACTCCCGACTCCCTACTCCCTACTCCTACTCGCCACTCACTACCCACTACTCACTACCCAATACGCACTACTCACTACGCACTAACTCACTACTCACTACTCACCACTCCCTACTCCCAACTCCGTACTCCCTACACACTTTCTCTGGCGCAGAAAGGAGAAGCGAGGCTCCCTTTCCGACGCAAAGGGGGGAAGGGGGGGGGGGTCGAACCCCATCCCCCCCTTTCCAGCGCCAAGGGGGGGAGGGGGGGGGAGGGGGTTCCGGACCCCCCCCCTTCAAGGGAGGGGGAGGGGGGTTCGAACCCCCCCCCCTTAAGGAGGGGGGGGGGGGGGGGGTCCGGACCCCCCCCCTTGAAGGGGGAAAGGGGGGGGGGGGGTTCTGGACCCCCCCCCCTAGTGTATTCAGGGAGATCCACTAGCGCACTTTCCAAATGTTGCTCCAAACCAACAGCGGCCGCTGTTGGGCAGGCGGCCTTCTGTCTCGAATGGACACAGGCCGCGGCGGCGCGGAAAGCGAATCCTGTTCAGAATGAACAGGAACTGCTGTTGGGCATTGCACCCATTCTTTCCGTACCCATTTCGGGCGTCCAGAGGGTGGAGCCAGCACTTGGAGCCATCGACCCACTCCCCGGGACCAGCTTCTCGTCACGCGCCGTCTGTTCGCGGCCATGGGGCGCGAAGACGGCCTCAGGGCGCCGAGGGCCGACAGAGATACCCCGCGAACGGATTTCCAGGGCAGGCGTCTGGATTTGGGAGTCCTGGAGGTCAGAAATCGGCCTCCCGACCTCTGCGGGCGATCCATCTGACTAGAATGTCGAGGGGAATCCAGCTGTGGCGACAAGAAGCCGCCCATGGGCCAGAGACCAAACACAAAAGCAGGCACGCCCGAAGACCTCCTTCCAGTCCTCCCTGGTCGCAGCCCTCGTCATCCTCACATGTCCTTTCTTCCTCCTTTCCTTCCTCCTCCTCCTCCTCCTCCTCAATCCTCCTCCTCCTCTTCCTCCTCCTCCTCCTCCTCCTCCTCCTCCTCCTCCTGCTGCGCGCACGCGCTGGGACGGGTGACCCGGAACGCCCCGCCGACGTCACTGGTGCCGCGCGCCCGCGGCCCGCTACAGTGGATGCGTTTGAGCTGTTGGCACACTCGGTCGGCCGAGGTTCGAGCGCTCGCAGCCCTGTGTGGAAGCCGCGCCGCGCTTCTTGTTTGCAAAACTTCGCACCGTCGTCACATGAGCCCGCCGAAAGATTCTCAACTCAGTGTCCGTCGGCATGGCTACTCAAGCTCAACCTGGCAGGGGGGACCAAGATGACTACCGAAAGCACGGCCTGATATCGCCTTAAGATGTCGGTCTGAAATTTCTAATGGACACGATTTCTGGTGGTAAAAAAAGACACTGTCCAAAATTAGGCCACCGAGGCGCAAAACGCGAACGTTTCGATTGGGTCGAACCGAGTTCGGATCTGGTTTGAACCTGCTTTTCGAGGATGTCCCGCACGCGAGATGCTCACTTTTCCATTGCTCCGAACCGAGTTCGGACCTGGTTCGAACCTGCTGATCGAGGAAGTCCCGCACCACACGCTCACTTGTCTTGAGTTTCGGACCGACTCCGATTGTCTCGAACCGAATTTCGGACATGACTTGAACATCTTTGTGGAGGAAGCTCCTCGCGCTTCGCCGTTTCTGAACCGCCATCCCGTTTAGCTACGCGTCGTTCATGTCTAATCGCGCTCATTCCTAAGTGTGCTCGTTCCTAACTGTTCCTGGCCCCCTGGTGGCCAGGAAGAGGCCCGGGATAGAACAATGAGAAGTGAAGGGATCCTGGCCCCCCCCCCAAAAAAGACCCTTCGAAGCAGTAGGCATGAACCGTGTGCAGGAGTGGAGCGAGGGCTGCACCCCCCACACGATCCCTGCCACGCGATCCCTGCCACACACACACACACACACACCCTGCCCCATCCTTTTCCTGACAGCAGCGAACAAAAAACAAGAGATTGAGCAGGGACCGACCGTCCCGGCATTCCTGTAGTCCTACCACGAAGTGTTCTTAGAACCCAAGAATGTTCTAATAACAAAACAATGATCTTAGAACATGCACCCGATGTGGCGAAACAAGACAGACTCCGCAAGAAACGTTCTGAGAACATTTCGTGCAAACCACGAACGGTTCTTAGAACATCGCTTGGTAGGGCTACAGGCGAGCCAGGACGCCTCGCCACCGGCTGAAGAGATATCGCCACGGGAAGGGGGCAGGCCAATGCCGACGCCTTCGCTGCGCCGGCGGCAGCCTCGGCCCAACTCCCCCCCGGCGGCGTGGGCACGCGGGAAGGCGGGGGCAGCCCGAGCCTCCCCACGGCCTCGGCCGCGTCCGCGGCCGCGCCCTCTTACCAGCCTGGAACATATCCCTATCCCTATGCTGGGCACCTCCTCGTTACGATGCCAATCTTAGGGATTCCCTTATTTTGTGAGGGCGAGTCCCTAAGATTGTCGTCGCCTTTTGGCGTGTCAATCTTAGGGAAAGGGATACGTTCGAGGCTGGTAACCCTCGGGATTCGCCGTCGAGGGGCGCCGCGGCCGGCCCCGCGGCGGCCTCCTCGGCCCCGCCGTGGAGGCCGGGCGCCGGCGCGTGTCCCCAGGCAGGGCTGCCGCGCGCCGCCGGTGCGGTCAGCCCCCAGGCGCAGGCCAAACTGGCCATCGCTCGGGCGTCCATTCCCTGTGTTTTTTTCGGTTTCGTGCGTGGCTTTTTCGCCAGATGATCAAGGATGCTCCTCGATGGTCCTCGCCGAAGGGAAAATGCACACGTCTGAGCGATGCCGAGCAAAAGAGCAGGCGGGGGCGGTGCTCGGCCCAGCGCGACGCGGTCGATCCTGAAGTGCCAACAACTGGGCGATGCAGAGGGATCCGTCGCATACTTACCCCCTGCCCAGGCAGCGCGCAGATTTGAACGTGGGGAAGCATCCTTACTTCCTGGAAGGCATCCATCTCTAGCAGGAAATATCACGATCAACAAGCAAGGTTCGGCTCGGCGGGCAGGAAATACGAAATGCTGGGAAATACCGCCCCGACCTCCTCTCCGCTCCTCATAACCGCCCTCGATGCCGTAGCTAGCAGTCAACGTGCGTCACAACCTTCTGGTCCAGATCGCAGTGGAATAGACCTGTTCAGCTGTCAGCGCACGGCCACCGGGTCAGAGCGAGTCCGGCAGCCAACAGATGCCAACGTGCGTCACCAGCTTGACCTGCAGCATGTCGCGGGAAGGACCTATCATGCTGTCAGCGCAAGGCCGCCAATCAGAGCGAGCCTGTCCGCCTGCACACCATTGACTCGGTTGAGCCAGCGCCTCCTTCTCGCTGTCAGCACGCGCCACCAGTTGGAGTTGGATGTGTGGTGTGCCCCAGCGTCGTTATACGTGCCAAGTGAACTCCCATGCGCGTCATAGGCCTCAACGCGCGGCACTCGGGATACGCGGCCACATGCTCGCGCAGCGGCCGCCGCACCCGCAGCCCCACGAGGCGCCGGCCCCTCTTCCGTCGTTGGGCAGTCAACCAACCGGAAGAACTACCACCAAATGGCTCCGATATGGCAGCTTGTGCAAAAAGCCACTGAAGCAACCTGCAAGTGTCGCTGCCCCCGAGGAAGAGAAGAAGGGATGCCGACGCAGGCGGCCAGCACCTCGCTCTGTCGCGGTGGAGCTCGACGCCGAACTCCTGGAGCCATGGGTTGTCGCAGGCCACCCGCTGGCTGGAGCCGAGACTCTCGTCGGGTACTGAGCCGCGTCCGTTCAGAAACGCAGTCTGTTCTAATCTCAGTTACCTTGTAGGAGTCCAGGGGACAGTGCGACGCCGACCATTCGGGGGGGGGGGGGGGGCTCGCTTTGTGATTGTGTTGGAAGCAGCTTGCTCCAGTGCAGCACGGTTGCGCCTGCTTGCGCTTCGCATGGTGCTAGTAGGTACTCCTTGCGATGGGCCGTCTGGAACTCCGCGGTGCCCTCGAGGCGTCCCAACGTCGTTGCGTGTCCCCCCACGCGCGTGCATCGGCCCTTCTGTGGGGCCCTTTGCAGGAGCTGCTCCAGCCCAGGCAGGTGCGCTGTTAAAGGCATGGTCGCCGTCTTTGCGTCCGCGCCGTAAATGCACTGGTCCAGAGCGGCCAGGCGCACGTCGGGATGGCCTGCCAGTTCGCGCGTCTCCGCCAGCCTCTGGGAGCTGACTGCGCGCGGCTTCCACGTGGCCGTGCTGGGTGCTCAATGACCATGGGCATTCCTACGCAGACAGCCACCTGTGCGAGGTACTACAACGCGCTGGCGAGGGTCAGCTGCGTTTCTTCGCGCTCGCTGGCAGTAAAGATGCCCCAAATGTGCTCCAAGTGCCACACGGGGCGAGGTCCTTTGCGGCCTGAGCCCAGTGCCTCTCATCGCGCGGCAGACCATGTCTCACATGGCGGCCTAGCGATGATGCCCAGCACTCCCCCTGACTGCGTGGTCTGCGCCCACCGGGCCACTATGCTCTGGTCCGTGAGGTCGCCGAGCGAACGGTCCGCGACGATGTCCAGGGACAGCACCCAGACCTTGGCACCAGAATAAGGGCGTTCGAGGGCCGACGGGACGTCGCCATGCGGGCGCCGCCCAGCGAAGATGCGCAATGTGACATTGCGGCCTTCTGCTCCGACGGTCTGGGGCATCCATGGTGTTGGTCTCGGTGGTCGCGGTGGTTGATAGGAGGGTGAGTCTGTCCTGTCGTCGCCGAGGCCTGCACCCCTGGGGCGCGCGAGAGTACGAGCTTGACTGGCACAGGGGCCTTCGTGGCTGGAAATCCGCATGCTGTGGGCTCTGCTTTGGCTGCGGCATCTGTCTGCCGTAGCCCCATCCACCTTGTTGTCACTGATGAGCGGCGGTCCCGGGCTGGGCAGCCGAGAGGGGCAGCCAGTGCCCCTGCATCTTAGGCGGTGCACGGGCCTGGGGCGCGTGGAGCAGTCTCTGCCGCCTGCTGCGCACGCGGAGCCTGGAGCGCCCCGTCGTGCCAGAGCCGCTGGTTGGTGGTCTCTGGGATGGTGCGTGCGACACGCTCCCACCTCGACGAAAGCTGGCCCGCAGTAGCACCTGACCCTTCGTGGTGGGATGGGTGGCTCCGCCGAGTCGTGCGCCTCCCTGATTTGCTGTCGGTGCCTGTGCCACTCTCGTCGTTTGACTTCCTCTGGCTCGTACCACGTCGCCCTTTGAGTTGCGCGCGTCGCACGTCCCCTGAAGCCGTCGCAGAGCTGCGAGCGCCAGCCTGTCGTTCCTGTTGCATCCGGCATCTGGAGTACGGCTAGAGGCCCATGAACTAGTAGCCGCTGAAGGTGTCGGAGCCTATGGGCTCGGTGCCCTGTCTGGAGCGGTGGTCGCCCTGCCTGCATCGGCAATGCATCGTCTGTAGTTTTGGTCTCCGGCTGAGCAGGCATCCTGGGACTCGAGCGCCCGCCAGGCGCGCGAACTGCTGTGGTGGCAGTGGTGGCCACGTCTACACACAGTAGTGCAGGTGCGCGGTAGCCAGAGCATCGAGGTGCAGTAGTCTCCAGGTGTGTTGTACAGATCGAGCATGTTTCAATTTTCGTCCGACTGGCGCGCGCGCCGCCTGGTAGTTCTGTATGTTATGGGCCATGGCGACATGATTCTTGCCTTCAACCTCAACCATGGATCCCAGTTGCTTCTAGCTGCGCGCCAGCAGCATCTCGGTGCCACTGTGTGTCTCTTGCATCTTGAACTGGCTGTAACTATGTTGCCATGCGGGCGTCATCGCGATTAGCCCAGTGCAGTGCCACTAGTGCTATTGTCATGCCCAGCATGTAGTTGAGTTGGAAACTGCGGGCTGTCATGATCTCGTGTACGATCCTAACAATCGTGAGGATGGTCTCACGCTCGCTTCCTGCCTCGAGCTGCGTGAGCAGGGTCACGTGATCTATGAAGGAGGTGCTGCCCACCTCTGTGGATTCTGCCCCTGGGGCAAGTCTGGGGTAAGGATAGTCGCTCGGCAGCTGCCGGTGTACTGCATGTCATTCCTAGTTCCACGAATTTCTGTCGTATATACTTCTTCCTCCTCCTCGTCCTCCTCCTCCTCCTCCTCCTCCTCCCCGCCGCCTCCTCTTCCTCATCGTCCACCTCTTCCTCCTCACTCCTCCTTCCGCTTCCTCTCCCTCATCCTTCCTCTTCCCTACTGCCGGGAAGGAATCACAACGGGAAGGATTTGGCAGTTTCAGGCCGTGGGGGCCCTTACTGAGAACCAGGACCGCCAAACAACAACTCGGAATGAAAAACCTAGACTGGCTAAATGGGTCGAGATGCTGTGGACCACGGCGCTAAAAAGATGCAACGTCGAAGGAGAGGGGTGTTTTTTGGGGGCTGCGTAGGGGTCCTTCAATGTTCTGGGGGAAATTCAAGGGGCGTAACGCCAGGCAGAGAGCGGACGGGAGAGAGAGGGGGACGGAACTTCGACCATCGCGCTACCATGACCTTCATTTACCACCCATGGGACTTGGGCTGAGAGGGCCAGCATCCGACCAAGGAAACCCCTGCGTTGCCAATGCCCGCCAAACGACCCCCCCCTCCGCGACGTCTGAGTCCTGACGCTGCAGCTTCCGGAGCCATGCCCCGAGTCCCGGAGCGCCAAGGCCATATAATTACTCTGCCACTGCTCCTGCGCGGAGCTGCTGCGATTGCCCCGTCGGAGAGAGGTATGGAGTTGGGGAAAAAACACACACAAACAAAAAAACAAACAAACACACACTGTGGGGAAAACACACACACACACACACACTGTGGCGAAAAACACACCAACACACACGGGGAACACACACACACACACAAAAACACACACACAGTGTGTGTGTGTTGTGTGGTTGTGTGTGTGTTTTTGTGTGTGTGTGTTTGTGTTGTTGTGTGCTGTTGTGTGTTTTGTGTTTTTGTTTTTTGTCCACAGAAGAAAAGGATACATGTGGGAACCGACGCCATCCTGCAAGGTTCAGCGGGCCGATGCGGTTCAAGATGTTCTTCTTCTGGCGCGGGTCGGGCATCAGGAGGAGCTCGACGACGGATCGGCCCTACGGGCCAGCTGGCTTGTGGGCGACTCCCTCTTCTGCAGTCCCTTTTCCTGTCTCGTCCCCTTCTTCCCTGGCTTCCTCCTCCTCCTCCTCCTACTCCTCCTACTCCTCCTCCTCCTCCTACTCCTCCTCCTACTCCTCCTCCTACTCCTACTTTTCCTCCTCCTCCTCCTCCCTGGCTTCCGCCTCCTCCTCCTCCTCCTACTCCTCCTTCTTTCCTGGAGTCAAAGCTGCCCCCCAGGCCCCCTCCCCGCGGGGCTCCTGGCCAGGATTGCGAAGGGAGTCCAGCAATGGCATCGAGGGCGCCCCGAAGGCCCACACGTACCCCGAGAAACGTTGGCTCGATACCCGATCCAGCTTCCCTCGTCCAGCTCCGGACTCGGGAGGCCCAGCAGGGGTAAGTCGCAAAGCGGGCGGGCACTGTTTGTATCAAGGAGCTTCGATCGCCCACGTGTTCGACGTAACTCCTGGCGAACGCGTGAGCTGCCCACCAGCTAGACTCTCCAACCTAGCTGCCTTTACCAGCCTGGAGCATATCCCTATCCCTAAGCTGGACATCGCCCCATCACGGTGCCAATCCCAGGGCTTCCCTTAGTTTTTCAGGGCGCATCCCTAAGATTGTCATCGCCTTCGGGCGTTTCAATCTCGGGGATAGGGATCAGTTTGAGGCTGGTGATGCCTCCCTCCTCCTCCTCCTCCTCCCTCTCCTCCTCCTCCTCCTCCTCCTCCTCCTCCTACTCCTCCTCCTCCTCCTCCTCCTCCTCCTCCTCCTCCTCCTCCTCCTCCTCCTCCTCCTCCTCCTCCTCCCTCTCTCCTCCTCTCTCCTCCTCCTCCTCCTCCTCCTCCTCCTCCTCCTCCTCCTCCCCCTCCCCTCCTCCTCCTCCACCCGACCGACGCACGGTGAAGCGCCACTGCGCATCCTGCCCCCCTCTGGCGCGCGGGCTGCGCCCGCGGACTCCTCTGGGCTGGCGCCGTGCTGCCGGAGCATAGAAACCTTCTCGGTGGGCGCCGGGCTGCCAGGAAGCGCGAGGGGGCATTACTTTGCACAGGATTCTGACAGAATCCTTACATAAAAACAATTGGAAAGGTAATAATGAGCTCTAAATCTTTCTACTTGGTGCTAGACGTGCCCCATCTGCTGTGTGGCACCCTTTGTTGGGCAAGGAAAAAAATCCGGGAATCGCAGTACTCCGAATGGCAACTTTACCACCAGGTGGGGGTGAAAAAGGGAGGAGAGGGGAGGGGAGGGGAAGGGACGAGAGAGAGGGGGGAAGAGGGGCGGGTAGGAACCCGCCCTGACCCACGCCAGGGCCCCGGAAACGGCAGGGCCGTTTTTTCACCGTTTCCGAAAAAAACGTCCCTTGAAAATGGAAGCGGTAAAAAAGGCAACCGGAAACCGCAAAAAAACGGCTCCAGGATTGGAACCGGAGCCGGAACCGGTCACAAAACGGCGACGGAACCGGTAAAGAAAACGGCGTCGGAACCAACAAAAAAACGGCAGAACGGATCCGGTAAAAAAAGGCGGCCCTGTCGTTTCCAGGGCCCACTAAGTCAAACAAGTTGTAGAGTCGCTGTGCGGGCGGGAAGCTGAGCAGCCTGGAGCGCCGCCGGCGAGAGCCAGCCCGACGGCAGCTACAGCGCTGAGCGTGGAGGGACGAACGGGTTCGAAGGGGCAGACCAAGGGAGAACTGGAGATTGGCCAACAGCGGCCTGAAAGCAACCCGCGCAGCGCGGGCACACGGTGGGCTTTCCAGCGCCACCAACTAAGGAAGGGAAGAGGGGGCAGGCAGGAAAGGGGGAGGGGGGCAACGGGAGGAACATCCAAGCAGCTCCAAATACTACCGCCAACAGTTGACATTAGAGCATGGATGGACGTCCATCTCAACCCAGAACTGAAGGCACGAAACATCATCCTGAGCGAGGGGCAGGGGCGGGAGGGGGGAGAGGATGAGGAGAGGTGCAGAGCAGGGGGGGGGAAACAACATCACTCCCTGAGAGAGCGTCCTGGGGCTCCTCGGCCTCGAGCTGCCCAGGTGGCTTGGAACAGCAAGCCTGCACGACGACTCGGAGGATGAAGGATGAGTTGGAGGGAGAATCGGGCCGGGCGAATGGGGGTGATAGCAAAGGGGGGTTTGAGAATCAGCTCACTTAGCTGATTTTCCCGGCGCCTCCAGGCGCCGGGAGGCGCCCATGTATCGAGGAGTGGGCCCAGCGGCGGGGCCGAAACCAGCTGCATGCAGCAGATTTCGTACCCTCCCCTTTCCCTATCCCCCCCTTTCGTTCAGCCCGAGAGAAGGAGGACGGAGGAAGGGAGAGAAGTAAAGGGGGGCACGCTCAACTTGAACAGCATGGGCCTCCACAGCCCTGAATTGGCCAGCCGGCCTGGACCTAGCCAATCGGCACCGAGACTCGGAGGCGGCGGCGGGAGGAGGACGGAGGAACAGTGGCAAGGGAATGTGGACAACTGCACTAGGCGGCGAGCGAGGGGGGGAAGTGAGAAGGGGCGGGCCTTCTCAGAAGACTCGGAAGTCCCACGGCCGTCTGAGAAGTTTGCTAAGCCTTCCCCGAAGACATAACAAAAACTTCTCAGAATGCGCGAGGGCTTCTGAGAAGTCCCGCCGCCTTCTGAGAAGGCCTTCTCCTTCTCACGTCCCCCCCTCGCTCGCCGCCGATGCACGCTACTCCCACGAGCCCATATTCGCAACTCCCCAAGAACCTGGGCAGGACTTCGAACCAGTTGATTTGGTCATGATCCGGCGGCGGATCCAAAAGATGCACGCATCCATGAACGCTTTGTCGGGTTGGCTTCCGAATCGTACTTGTAGCGTGGTCCACTGAAGGACTATCGAGGCATCAGCACTTTGGCGGCGTGCACAAAAGGGTAGGGGAAGAGAGAAAGGCTTCAGAGAATCAGCCCACACCTACAGATAAGACCCGCACCTTCTAAGAACCAGGGGTGCTCCTAAGAAGCCTTCCCCTCTCCCCCTATCCCCCTGTGCGCGTGGCCGATCACTGCCGCTCTGCAGCTTTCGCCAAACGAGTTTATGGTAGGGGGTCCTGGCCCTCCCTGGCACCACGCGCGTGGCTAAATAACAATGAAAGCGTCTGCTCATGGAGCCCTCCGCCCCCTACCTAACAGGGGACATGTCGACCCCTATCCCCGGCTTCGTGGGGTTTTCGAACGGATCTGAAATTTGGGGCCCAACCCTGCGATACACGATGGGGGGCGTCCGTCCTCGATAGAAGGTGCGTGCGAATAGCGCCCTTGGGGTGTATCCCAAGGTTTCTCCAATTTTCAGAACGGCCAAACTTTTCAAGCAGAACTCGAGGATTGGGGGGGAAATCGCCTACGAACGAGCGTGGCGAGATCATAATCGAAGCGTCTGCTCGTGGAGCCCTCCGCTCCCTACCGAAAGCGAATCAAAAGCAACCGCTGGACCCCTCCCAAAACACCACTCCGATCCGTCTTCCAGGGTCAGCGTCAAGGCACGGCGACGAGGAGGTACAGGGAGATCCTGCCCCTCCCCCCGCCCATCGCCCCCCACCCCACCCCCTCTCAGGGCAGCCTCCCACCCAGCCCGTCGCGGGCTGCCTGGCTGTACGACCCGCGGAAGCCGAGCGGCGAGTTCTCCACAAAATACTGCCACCTCAGCAGCCCTTCCTGCAGGGAACACTTTCTCCTAACGACCCCTCGAAATCGTACTTCCTCTGATCCCTCTCATCCTCTCCCGCCGCATCCTCCTCCTCCGCGACTTTCTCCTATTAGTTCTCTCTCGACGGGCTAGGGAAGAGCGGCGCATCCGCCGCCTCCTCCTCCTCTTCCTCATCCTCATCCTCATCATATTCATCATGTTCGTCGTCATCACCATCAGCGTCATCATCAAAATCAGCACCATCATCGTCATCAGCATCAGCATCAGCATCAGCATCAGCATCATCATCATCAGCAGCATCATCATCATCAATACCATAATCATCGTCAGCATGAGCTTCATCGTCATCACCAGCATCATCATCAGCAGCATCATCGTCATCATCATCACCATCAGCATCACCGCCATGTCATCATGATCAGCACCCGCATCAGCATCAATATCATCATCAACATGCGCATCGTCATCAACATCAGCATCATCAGCATCAACATCATCGCAAGCAGCATCCACATCAGCATCATCGTCACCCTCATCACCATCACCATCACCAGCAGAAGGATCCTCATCATTCCCCTCCCTCTCCACACATGTATATGTCAGGGTGAGGGGGTCGAACGGTCATTCATTGTCCCTGGGTGCGTTGCTGAGGTTAGAATCCGTGGTGGGGATTGTGCTTGTTGCGTTGGTGTTGTGTTGCTGGTATTGTTAACTTGTTTGTTGTCGTCGTCACCCCCGCGACCCACTCGCGACCCACCCCGCGACCCGACCCGCGACCCACCTCGCGACCCCACCCGCGACCCACCCCACGACCCACCTCGCGACCCACCCGCGACCCACCCGCGACCCACCCGCGACCCGCCCCGCGACCCACCTGCGACCCACCCCACGACCCACCCGCGACCCACCCGCGACCCACCCACGACCCACTTGCGACCCACCCGCGACATACTTCGCGACCGATCCACACTGGTTCGAAGAAAAGATCGGCGCCTGCGGCGGGCTCGTTGTATAATGTGTAAAACTTTGGCGCCTGTGGCGGGCTTCTCTCTCGCAGACTACCGACGTCCCCACCGCCCCCGCACTCTTATCCGCGTCTGCGGGGTGCTACGTACATCTCTCCCTTCTTGATGTGTGTTATTCACTCTCTCTCTCTCTTGTTGTTTTCTCTCTCTCTCTCTCTCTCGCTCTCGCGCGCAGCATGGACATGAGGAACAAACCCACCGTCTCTTCCTGATCCGCCCCCACTCCTGCTCGTCGTCGTCCCCTTCCTGCAGCGAGCCTCCTCCACTCTGCCACTCCTCCTCCTCAACTCACGCTCCTCCGGTCCTTGAGCCTCCCTCCTTCTCCGCCCGCTCCTCCTCCTCCCCCTCCACCACCACCTCATTCATTCCAATCACCCAATCTTGAAGGGGCCCTGGGACACACAAATAAATACACACAAATAAAAAGGATTCCCCATATTTTCTATATTTTCTGGGTTTTTGCATTCCCCCCCAATTCCCATATTTTCAAATATTTTCTGGGGAATCGACGATTAATTGTGTCTGTGTTTTTTCCCCCTCCTGAAGTGTGTGCCCTTCGCGCCGCGCGAGACGCGATCTGTGTTCGCGCGCTCGCGCGGCCTGCGGACACCCACCCAGTGGAAGGGCAGCTCTTCTGGCCCGGACCGCTACGAAGGCACGACGCGCGGCCCATACCGCTGGGCGCGAAGCGTGATTGTCCACTGCCAGCGATGCTGTCCCCATCCTTTCCTCCGCCTCTCCCCCACCCCCCTCTTCGCATCTGCAGGGGCAGCCCGGGCCCCTGATTTCCAATCGCTCTTCATGCGGACGGGACTGTGGCCGCCACTTCCCCAGGCGGAGGGTGGGACGCTGTGGAGCAAAAGTTGCCCCCCATGCCTGCACCCGTCCCGAACCCCGCGTCCGCCTTCACTGGAGGCAGCTTCCACGGGAACCATCACGTGTTCACGGCGCCACCGCGCCACTGCTGACAGGCTGCAGTCGTCCACGACGGGATAGCCCGCCGAAGAAGAGTTCTTCGCCAGAAGAAAGCCGAGTACAGTCGCGAGGAAAATCTGAAGGAGCGACCTCTCGTAGGAGCATCCTGCGAATCCCACCGCCCTTCCTTCCTTGCGTCTCCTCCTCCTCCGCCTCCTCCTCCCTCCATATCCCCCTCCTCCTCCTCCTCCTCCTCCTCCTCCTCCTCCTCCTCCTCCTCCTCCTCCTCCTCCTCCTCCTCCTCTCCACCCCAGGCCTTCAACGCGCCGTGCTTTTTCGCAACGTCGACCCCTGGAGGTATGGACCTGTTCCCCAGGGCCTCTTTTTCATCCAGAGTCGTATTTGTCGGCCCCGGGGGCTGGCATGGGCCCCAGATGCCGAGCGTGTGCAGGACCCTTCCGCCGCGACCTTCCCGCAGCGCGGGGAGGTTTGGGACCCCCTCGTCCTCGGACATCCCGCTCATCCCCCTCCCCCCGACCTCCTCCGAGGGGACGCCGGGGCCCCCGCTTCACGTTCCACGGGAAGGCTCCGCGCGTGTCTGCCTCGCGCAGGACCTCGGCATGTGCGGCGGCAGGGTCGGGCCGCTCGGTCGCGAACGGCGAACGGCGACGACCACGACGGACGACGACGCGGCCCGGAGGGCGTCCCGAGGTGGGCGGCGCGGTGGCCTCTCGGCGCCAGCGGCACAGGCGACGACGGGGCACCTGCGCGCGGGCATCGACTCTCGACGGCGGCGTCTCTCTCGGAGGGGCAAGAAGCGCGGGGAGCAGGAGCGGCTTGGGAGCCCTCCGGCCAGTTCGGCGCGCTCTCCCACACGAGTCCAGGCAGCCAAAATCTCGGCCGGCGCCCGTCTACTTCTTCGAGGGGTTATGCTGTTGCTGCTCATGGTCGCCAACGCCGGCCACGTCGTCTTTTCCCTCGCCCTCGTGTCCTCGTCCTCGCTCGCCGCCTCCATCTGCTCCCAGTCCTCCTTCTGCTCCTTCTCATCCTTCGGCTCCCCCCCTCCTCCGCACCTCTTCGCGTTGGCCCTCTCAGGCTTGAGCTAGGGTCAGCGCAAGCGCTGGCGAGCCGGACGTTTCAGTCGGCGGCATCAACGCCGTCGACCAGGATGCCCCGGCCACGGGGCGTTTCAGTCGACGGCATCGGTCGGCGCGGGCGCCTGCGAGGCGGAAGTGGCGCGAGCGGCACACCAGGGCAGCGAGCCGCCGGGTGGACATCATCCGCCGCTGTAGGCAGCACGGGTCGCGTGGCGACCTGCCTGGCGCACACACGGAATCTCCCTCATGAATGCGACGAGCATGTCCAAGAGCGAGGCCAGGGAACTGGGAAGCGCGCGAGGTCGGCGCCGAGGACAGCTGGGAGGGACGGGACGGCACGGACCTCCCCGAGGTGCTCCTGGCCCGGGGGCGAGTCCGCCGCGAGGCCTCAGGATCCACAAACCTAGGATGATCCGGGAAAGCGCCCGTGACAGGGATGGTCCACAAACCTGGGAAGATCCACAAACCTGGGAAGATCCAAAAACATGGGATGATCCGGGAAGATCCACAAACCTGGGAAGATCCAAAAACATGGGATGATCCGCGAAAGCGCGCGTGACAGGTCCCGACGCCCCCCCGCCTGGTCTCGCCGCGATCCGCGGCGGCGCCGTGCGAGAAGTGGCCATCCATACGCAATCCCCAGCGGTTGCGCGACTCGTGACGCGACCAGCCCCCTGCCTCCCCCCCCCGGGGGCAAGGCCACTGTCGCCAGGAGATCCGTTTGAGGGGACGAACGGTCGTTCGCTGTCCATGGGCGTGGCTGAATCGAGATTCTGCGGTGCGGATTGTCGTTGTTGCGGGTGTTGTGGGAGTTCGTGTTGCGGCTGTTGCTGTCGGTGTTGGTGCTGGTGTTGGTCTTGGTGCTGTTGGTGCTGTTGCTGTTGCTGTTGCTGTTGCTGTTGCTGTAACTGTTGCTCTTGCTCTTGCTGTTGCTGTTGCTGTTGCTGTTGTTGTTGTTGTTGTTGTTGTTGGTGTTGTTGTTGTTGAATACCCATCTCTAAAGAATAATGGTGCTGGTCTCCGCAAAACGGTTCCGCGAGCTCTCGCCTCGACGCCAGCTACATTTTCTCTGAAAAGCTCCCTCTCGAGCGTTGGCTTGAACCTAACTGTTGGCCCTTGGAGGCCCAGCTACGACAACAACGGCTCCCGCTCGATACTTCCTCACAGTTTATCCCGAGACACCCTGGCCAGAGAGGCACCCGAACTCAGGAACGGCGCTCTCGCCCGAGACTTCCTCGCGTTTCAATTAAGTTGGCGGAAGACCAGCCACGACGACAAGTGCTCCTGCTCGATATTTCCTCACGGTTTACTCCGAGAGCCCCTGGCCAAGAAGGCCCCCGAACTCAGGAACGGCGCTCTCGCTCGAAACTTTCCCGTAGTTCAAGCAAGTTGGTGGAGGCCCGGACACGGCGGCAAGTGCTCCCGTTCGATATTTCTCATTAGGTATTCCGAGAGCCCCTGGCGAGAGAGGTCCCCGAACTCAGGAACGGCGCTCTCGCTCGAGACTTCTTCGCACTCCAGTCAGAGGTCGACAAAGAAGATATTCCCCCCCGAAAGAACATGCAATCGATGACGACATGGGCGGGTCTCGAAGGTTGGAGTATACGGAATGCAAGACACGCGTGCCAGTAAGAGCGAACAACTTTAAACTGATTGTTGTTGTTGTTGTTGAAGTCCCACTGCTGGAGAAGAACTGGTATTGATCCCCCCTCCGGGGACCGCTGTATCTCCAATTAAAATATTCCCCCCCAAGGCTCGCATCCTGTCTTTATCCGTGAACATTGCAGGGCTCAAGCTGCGCTGTTGGCCCCAAGTTTACAACAACAGCGGCTCCCGCCTGACACTTCCTCACAATTTATTCCCAAATCGCGCTCTCGCGCGGGACTTTTTTCACAATTTGTATACGAGTCGCGCTCTCGCGTGGGACTTCCTCGCAATGTATTCAGACGCCACGCCCTCGACACTCAGGAATCACGCTCTCGCTGTGGATTCCTTTCCGATGTATTTGGGAATCGCGCTATCGTTCGAGACTTCCCCGCGATTCATGCAGGACGCACGTTTCAGCAACCCGCCTGCTCGACCTGGCCGCCTGGGCCCGCTTTCCCGAGCCACCTGATAGGGTCTACCCGCCCGATCTGCCGTTCTGGTTCTGCCATCTGCTTGCTCCTAGCCCCCTATCCTGCTACTCTCTCTCTCTCTCTCTCTCTCTCTGCCTCTCTCTCTCGTGCTCCATCCTCCTCCCTCCCCCTTGTCCTTTTCGTCCATCCATCCTCTCTTCCCCCACCGTAGGGGCTGCATGCAATACACGCTGCAGGTCAGAAGATATACCCCCAGAGGGCACCATCCAAGACGGAGGGGGAAAATAACGAGGGTTTGGGATATACGTGTTGAGTGGCAGGCGAGCAGATAAGAGCGAACAGTACTAAAGTGATTGTTGTTGTTGTTGCTGTTGCCGTCGTCGTGGTTGTTCTTGGTGGTTGTGTTGTTGATACTGTTTTGTTGTGGTTGTTGTTACTGTTGTTGCTGATGTTGGTAGTGTTGCGGTTGTTGTGATTGCTGTTGTTGGTGTTGAGGTTGTTGTTTTCGCTGTTGCACTCTCACTGCTGACCCCCACCAGTGCACATTGTATGGTTAAATCGAAGTGCCCGTTCCAAGGAAACTCTGCGTCCTCAAATTGTGTTGTTGGCCCCCGGGTTACAACAACAGCGGCTCACGTCTGAGACTTCCGCACAATTTAGCCAGGACCCCCGCTCCCGCCTGAGACTTCCTCGCATCGTATTCAGGAATCGCGGTCTTGCTTGGGACGTCTCTACAAATTATTCAGGAATCGTTCCCTCGGCGCTCTGGAGTCGCGCTCTTACGGGAGACTTGCTTGCAGCGGACTCAAGAATAGCACCCTTGCGTTGGAACTCCCGCAATTTACTCAAGCGCCGCATTCCCGACACTCAGGCACCCAGGAGTCGCGCTCACGCTTAGGACTCCTTCACACAGTACTTAGGAATCGGGATCTCGCTGCCCTCCGTGGCGGCCCCGTTGCAGCCCTTCGTGGCCCCTTCTCTACCATTCGTGGCCCCGTGGCAGCCATTCGTGGCCCATTCGCTACCCTTCGTGGCCCCGTTGCAACCCTGCGTGGCCCCCTCGCTACCTTTCGTGGCCCCCATCGCTGCCCTTCGTGGCCCCGTTCGCGCCCTTCCTGGCCCCGTCGCTGCCCTTCGTGGCCCCGTTGCACCCCTTCGTGGCCCCCTCGCTGCACTTCGTGGCCCTGTTGCAGCCCTTCGTGGCCCACTCGCTGCCCTTCGCGGCCCCGTTGCTGCCCTTCGTTTCCCCCATCGCTGCCCTTCGTGGCCCCATATATGTATGCCGTTCGTGGCCTCCGCTCGTTCGCGCCCGTCGTGGCCCCATATGCATTCCCTTCGTGGCCCCGTCGTCGTCCTTGGCGGCCCCCCCGCGACCCGTCGTGGCCCCGATGCTGCCCTCAGTGGCCCCGTCCTTGCCCTCCGAGGCCCAATCTGCGCATGCCTTTCGCGGCCCCCGTTCGTTCGCGCCCGTCGTGGCCCCATGTGCATGCCCTTCGTGGCCCCGCTGTCGCCCTGCGTAGCCCCCTCACCGTCCTACGCGGCCAAATTGCTACCCCCATGGCCCCGTCGTTGCCTTCTGTGGCCCCGCATTATCTTCCCTTCATGGCACCCGCTCGCTCGCGCGCTTCGTGGCCCCATACGCATTCCCTTCGTGTCCCCGCTGTCGCCCTTCGTAGCCTACTTCGTGGTTGCAGCAACAACGGCTCCCGCCGGAGACTTCCGCACAATTTAGCCAGGACCCCCTCTCCTGCCCCTGAGACTTCCTCGCAGTATTCAAGAATCGCGCTCTCGCTTGGGACGTCTCTACGAATTATTCAGGAATCGCTCGGCGCTCTAGAGCCGTACTCTCGCTGGAGACTTGCTTGCAGCGTAATCAAGAATAGCGCCCTTGCGCTGGAATGTCCGCAGTTTAGTCAAGCGCCGCGCTCCCGACAATCAGGCGCTCAGGAGTCGCGCTCACGCTTAGGACTCCCTCACAGAAAATTTTGGAATCGGGATCTCGCTGCCCTTCGTGGCCACGTTGCAGCCCTTCGATGCCCCCTCGCTGGCCCTTTGCGGCCCCGTTGCAACCTTTCGTGGCCCCCTCGCTGCCCTTCGTGGTCCCGTTGAAACCCTTCGTGGCCCCTTCGCTGCCCTTCGTGGCCCCGTTGCAGCCCTTCGACGCCCCGTCGCTGGCCCTTCGTGGCCCCCTCGCTACCCTTCGTGGCCCAGTTGAAACCCTTCGTGACCCCCTCGCTACCATTCGTGGCCCCGTTGTAGCCCGTCGTGGCCCCGTTGCAGCCCTTCGTGGCCCCATATGCATGCCCTTCGTGGCCCCGCAGTCGCCCTTCGTGGCCCCCTTGCTGCCCTTCGTGGTCCCCTCTCTGCCCTTCGTGGCCCCGTTGCACCCCTTCGTGGCCCCCTCGTTGCACTTCGTGGCCCCGTTGCAGCCCTTCGCGGCCCCCTCGCTACCCTTCGTGGCCCCGTTGCAGCCCCTCGCGGCCCCCTCGCAGCCCTTCTCGTGGCCCCGTCGGAACCCTTCGTGGCCCCCTCGCTGGCTTCCGTGGCCCCGTTGCAGCCCTTCGTGGTCCCGCTGCCCTTCGTGGCCCCATATATGTGTGCCCTTCGTGGCCCCCGTTCGTTCGCGCCCGTCGTGGCCCCCTCGCTGCCCCTCGTGGCCCCGCAGTCGCCCTTCGCGGCCCCCTCGCTGCCCTTCGTGGCCCCATTGCTGCCCTCAGTGGCCCCGCCCTTGCCCTCTGCAGCCCAGTGTACGCATGCCCTTCGTGGCCCCCGCTCGTTCGCGCCCGTCGTGGCCCCATGCGCATGCCCTTTATGGCCCCGCTGTCGTCCTGTGTGGCCCCCTCGCTGTCCTACGTGGCCCAATTGCTACCCTCAGTGGCCCCGTCGTTGCCTTCAGTGGCCCCGCATTATCTGCCCTTCGTGGCCCCCGCTCGTTCGCGCTCTTTGTGGCCCCATTTGCATGCCCTTCGTGTCACCGCTGTCGCCCTTCGTGGCCTACTTCGTGCCCTTCGTGGCCCTGCTGCCGTTCTCTCTCTCGCTCTCGCGTTCGCTCCTCGTCGTCGTCGTCGTCGCCGTCGTCGTCGTCGCCGACGTCGTCGTCGTCGTTGTCGTCGTCGTGGTCGGTCCCCTGTCCGTCCCTCTTGAGGTCGGGTTGCCGCCGATCGGCGCTGCCGCTGGCCAAGCCGACGGTCCGCGGCCGCCCCGCCGCTTGCCAGGGCCCGGCCTGCAGGGAAGAAAGGTATACAGTACCCCTTGATGTTGTTGTTGCCGTCCACACCGCGACCCGACCCGGCCACCCACCCGCGATCCACACGCGACACACCCGCGACCCAACCGCGACCCACCCGCGACCCACCCGCGATCCACCCGCGACCCGTCCGGCGACCCACCCACACGAAAAAATCGGCGCCGGCCGCCTGCGACGTGATCACTGCACAATTTGGCAAAGTTAGGCGCCTGCGGCGGGCTTTTTCAGAGCCTGACACACTGCCGATGTCTTTGCCGCCCCCTCACTCTTATCCGCAACTGCGGAGCTACGTAAACAACGTTCTCCAAAGCGGCTGGTCTCGAGCGCTTCTTTCACGAGCTGCACGTAGAGAAGCCCAGGGTCGACGCCTTCTCCAGTGAGCTGTTGGAACATGCCGAGGCTTATCCCCCCTGGTGCCCAGAAGGCTGAAGATGAGGTCCCGGAGAAGGTCTACGACAAGGCGGTGAAGAGGTCCAAGAGGAGAGCAAAGAGGCGCAGCAAACACGGTGTGCAAGAGGCTCCAGGGCAGCTCACGGGCAACGTCGTTGCCGTGAGCCTCATCTAGGTGGAGATTCGCGCTGTCCAGGCGGAGCGGCACCAGGAGAAACAGCACGCGTTTGTACAGGATGCCCCATGGAAGCTCACGGCCAAGTTGGTCGCCGAGAGCCTTCTCGCCGAGAAGGCGCGCCTCATCGAGGCAGAAGTGGCTGCGACAGGATGAGCAGCAGCACGAGGAGCCGAAGGACCGGGAGGGGCGCCAGGGCGGGCAGGTTTGTTTTTTTTGTTTGGGGCGCCAGGGCGGGCAGGTGCTGGAGGCCCACATGGTCATCCAGCAGTTTACCCCATTGCGTGGCAAGGCAAATGCTGGTGGAGCTCCAAGCCAAGCAGCTCGCAGGGAGCCGGTGCGCTTCTGCCATGCAGGGCAGAACCGGGAGCCCAGAGGCAGCAGCAGCAGCAGCAGCAGCAGAAAGCGGTGCAGGAGGGGCGGGAGAAACTCAAGGCTGCTAGCAGCGTCGCCGCGAGTCTCACCGAGGCCGTGCAGTCTCAGTAAGGAGCCCGCGCAGCTCGAACAAAACTACGAGATTTTGGGGCAGGCCCCGCTGATAAATGAGGTGGATTTCTAATTTTTCGTCGTCGCCGTTGTCGTCGTTGTCGTCTCTGCCGCCGCCGCTGTCGTCGTCGTTGTCGCCGTCGCCTTCGCCGTAGCCGTCGCCGTCGCCGTCGTCGCCTTCGTCGTCGTCGTCATCGTCGTCGTCCCCCTTCAGGGTCGGCGGCACCGGCCGCAAAGCCTTCGCAATACTAGATTTAGGGGTAGGCCCCACTGACCAAGAAGGTGGAGTTTTGTGCCTCCGGGTCAAGGGCTCTGGGGAGCCCCGACCATCATCTGCCCTCGGTGTATGCGGGTGCCCTCCTGACTGCGTGCCCCCTCGAGATGCGTGCGAGTTGCATGTCCTTGTCTGCCCTCATCCTCATCGTCGTCCTGATCATCCTACTCCTCCGACTCTGCTGCCTCCCCTCCCCATCGTGAGTCTCCGTGGAGGGGTGGGGCACGAGCGGAAGGACAGGAGAAGGAGGGGGTGGACGAGGAGGCCGAGAGACGAGGGGGAGCAGGGAAGCCAGGAGGTGGACGAGGGGAGAGGCACGACCTCCTCCTCCCGCCCCTCCTCCTCCGCCTCCCCCACCGGAGGCCCCAAAGGCCCCAAGCCCTGCTCCTCGATCGTTCCTCGATCCTCGATCCTCAATCCTCGACCCTCCATCTTCGGATCCCTGCTCGATCCTGAAGGGGCCCTGGGACACACAAATAAATACACACACATCAAAAGATTCCTCATATTTTCCGATATGTTCTGGGTTTCGGTCTTCCCCCCAACTTCCCATAGTTTCCCATATTTTCCTGGGAGTAGACGATTAATTGTGTCTGTGTGTTTCTTTCCCTCCTGAGATCCTCCCTCCTCGACCCCTCGATCGACCCTCGCAGGAGCCGCCTCCCCGACGGCCTCCCCCGCGCGGCCTTCGGCGCGCCGGCCGAGGGCCGCGCCGAGGCCGCCTGCTGCTGCAGCTTCCTGATGACCTCGATGGTGACCTGCTTGCCGGTGCCCTGCTTCGCCTGGCCGCGGGGGCGAGCGAACCACAGTCGGGGCGTTGACCTCAGGAGCCCTCAATAAGGAACGAGGCACCTTTTCCCCCTAAGCTACACTCCGATGTCCCATCAACAACCCAAGGGCTACCCAAGGCCAACTGCAACGCAGCCAAGGAACACTGAGCCCCTCAGGACTACCCAAGGCCAACTGCAACGCAGCCAAGGAACACTGAGCCCCTCCCACACGAGAAGGGTTCCTTCGTCAGCGCCCCGACTGTAACCAACAACGCGCGGAGCGTCACACCGACGAGACGGGCTCGCTGGCGGCCTGCGCGGGACAGCAGCTCATCACGCAAGCGCGCGCCCACATCCCACCGCAGCCTCCTCCTCCTGCCCATCCTCGTCCTCGTCGGGGCCGTCATCCTACCCTACCCTGACCTCGACCTCGGTCGCATTAGGCTGCACCTCCTCCTCCCCCTCCAGCGCATAATCTCGAGCTTAACCAGGGCTGCCCCGATGTCGTCTGCGCAAGGTGTCGCGGGGCCTCTCCTGGGAACATCGATGTGCAGCATGCACTCGTGGGGGAAGGGGCCCATGGCAACTGCAGATCAGGGCCCACTGGCTGGGCAGTCCTGGCTAATCCATGCCAGGATCGGGGCACGCAGCGCTATCTCGCACCTGCAATGGCTGAAACAAAAGACGCCCAAGTACAGGTGCTGCAGGAACCATAGAAAGAGGTGGAGGTAGCGGGATAGCTCGGAGGATCTTCACGAGGAAGGGGTGGGCCAGGGAGGAGAAGGCCTGCTGGGGATCGAAGGAGACGAGCAGGGGAAGGTCGGCGCAGGCTGACGAGGACATAGAACGCCTTATGGGCGCACCCTCGAATCCTAAAAGATTGTCGCCAACTTGGCGCCCCTTGATAAACCCGCATTGGGTGGGGCAGGCAAACTGGGAACAACATCTAACACATGATGGCACGCAGACCTCAGCAAGCACTTTTGTTGTCGGCACGTTTCGGCCCCAGGTGTCGGAGGCAACCGGGGGCGCGGGCCGCACCCAATCCGTCATCTGGGTCGTCGCCCTTCGGCAAGCATGCCCCTAGAATGCAGCTGAGCCCCAGCGGGCAGCTTGCCGCCCTCTAGGATACACTGGAGCACGGCATGCAGGACGTCGATCGCCTGGGGGGGTGGTGTTGCCACGCCGAGTAAGGTATGCGGTCGGGGCCAGGAGCAGTGTCGGACTGTCGCATCACATGCCGTCGGAGCGAGACGTGGGTCGAAGGTGGGAGGTCGCTGAGGTCGAGGTGGGAGACAAATCGCTCGATGTGCCTGTCGGCGGTCGACCCGTGGATCGGTCTCTTTGCAAACGCATTTCCCCAGAGGTCGGCAACCGCTCGGGGTGTGTCGGTCGGCGTCGCGGATTCCAGGCCGTCCGTCGCAGCCGCGCGTAAGCGAAGGCACTGGTCAAGCGGGGCCCGCACTTGACCATGCGTATGGAGACGCTTTAGTCGGGCACCGTGTTTTTTCGTTGGCCTTCATCGGCCGTGTCGTGTAATTGCCGTAGCAAGAGTCGCTTGCGCTCTGCATCGGTCGTTTGGGCGCAGTCAATCGCAGCCGCAAAATCAGCAGGGCATCGAATCCGCACCGTCCTCTGGAAATGGTCAAGCTCGAAGTGCACATCAGCGTTTGGATGAGCCTGCACCAGCACACTGGCAAGTGTAAAGACCTTCCACCGCACCACCCGAACATGCGTCCTCAGGAGGATAAGCTTCGCGAGGTTGGAGTTGGGAGTCTGAGTGAGGCTGGCCTGCCAGGCGTACTTCGCCTATTTGCGCATCAGATCCTCATAGAGCTGGAGCTGCATGGGCGGGAAGGAAAAGAGAGAGAGAGAGGGAGGGAGAGAGAGAGAGAGAGAGACGAGAGGCCGACTTGTGCCGAACAGTTCCTTGGGAACCGGGCGCTCCGCAGGAGCCTTCGCGACCTGCCCTACATGCCCCCAAGACGGCCAAGATTGAAGCGCTCCCAAAGTGCTACCAGACGGCACAGCGGGGCGCCCAAGACGGCTTCCGACGGCGTCCAGCGGGCCAGGAACACCTTAAGATAGGCAAAGAGGCTTCCAAGAAGCCCCCACAGAGCCTCAAAGACCCCCTCAAGACGCCTCCTCGTGCGACGGCCCCAGGAGAGCGCACCAAGAGGGCCCCATACGCCCCCAAGCGAAGCCCGAGAACCATCGGGAGCGCCCTGGATCGGCGGCACCCGCTGCCATAGTACAGTCGGGGCGTTGACCTAAGGAACGATAAATAAGGAACGAGGCCCCTATTTCCCATATATGAAACTCCGATGTTCCATTGAAAACCTCAGGAAAACATAGGGAAACCCGAGGAGCACTGTAAAGCAACTAAGAAACACGAAGCCCCTCCCCAACAAACAGGGTTCCTTCTTCAGGGCCCCGACTGTCTGTCGTTTATGATCATAGGATGGGTCGGGTTGATCTAGCTCTGTCGTGCCTGAGCATAGACGTGTCCAGGCGCGGTCCTGGCGAGTCCGCTGTGAAATTCGTGGCCGCTCATTTTGAGACCTCCCAGCCTCAGGAGCAACCGTCGGAAGTGTGGGGCAGCCGAGAGGTTGAAATTGCCAACCACGGCAACAATATCTAAATGTGTGGCCTCGCGGTTGGCATCTAGGTCAGTGCGTATGGCATCGTGCTGAGCACGCATTATCGCACCAGGTAACCTCAAATTGTGTATGCTGCAATGGGAAAGCCAACCGTCCGTCCCAGGGAGCGTGATTTTGACCTTCGAAGCACGCCCAGGAATGAGCGCAGTCGAACGGAGATTAGGGGCCACAAATGCAGACCCATCCCTCAGTCCAGCGTTGGCCGCTCCTGCAAGCGAGCAGCAGAACGAATGAATGTTTCGTAGAAGGGCAGCAGTCCCGTGCTTCAGCTGCCGTGCCCCTGGATTCCTGAACCACCACAGTGCTGGAATCAGGGAGGAGAGAGGATGGGTATGCGCGCTTCTTCATACAGATGTGGATGGGGCTGCCGAGGTGGGGCCCTGCCCGTGAAGCGGGATCGTGCGCTCCACGTCGCCGAGCAGAGTGCCGTACATGAGCCCTGCCAGCGGGCAAGGAGGGCGCTAAAGAAACCACCCAGGATCCGGGGAGGCGGCACCGAAGAGCGCGGCAAGTTTCCTCTGGAACGGGCCATTCTTGATACTGGGCGCACGCAAGATGGCGTCGGAGTGCTCGATCGTGCGTGGCTCTGATCCAGCAGCCGGCGTATAGCGAACCAGACCTTTCAAGTTGAGGGTGAGGATGTTTTTTTTATCGGCCGATGTAGAACTTGTCATGTGGGTGCAGCTCCTGAGCTGCACGTTTGATGAACTTGATGCCTGTGTCTCGCTGGGCCATGATCGGGGGCACTCCGACGAGCCACTGGTGGAGATGTTGGCCATGATGCGGCGCCAACCCACATTGTGGCTAAGGAGACCCATGACAGCCAAAACCATGGACACTTTTCGTGATGCATATGATCGGCTGCCTGGGAACAAGACCGGCCACATCTTGGCGGCAGCATCTCTTTCCAGGGAGTACTCGTCGTTAAAGATGCTGACGGTCTGCAGCCAGTCGGTGATCGATGTTGCCACCACGTCTTTGGTAGCCATCTCGAGGGTGCGGAGCAACCAGATGGTGAGGTCCGTGTCCCACTGGAATCCAACCTTCTCGTTGAGGACGGCCTTCGGCTCCTATCGCGTGAAGACGCCAGGGAGATCTTTGCGTATCTTTACCTCTTGCTGAAGCGAGTTGATCTTGTCGTCCTGGTCATCAATCCTTCTGTTGACCTTCCTGAAGCGACGCTCGATGTCCCAGTCGACCTGCTTGCAATTCGACTCGAGCGAGGTGCCCACGGCCAAGAGCTACGGCTGCACATTGGGGAGCTTCGCCATGACCTCAGAGCGGGATCTATCCACGTGCTGCTTGATGTCGGAGGCCGACTCGGCCCCACGAGAAGTGCCAGTCCCACAATACCGATGGACAACAGTACCTTTGGGTACCAGCCGTGGGCGCTGGAGGTGCGACCGCGGACGGAAGTGCATGGGGCGAGGCGGCGCCCCCCTGTGCCTGCGCTCCGTCTCGCTGCTGCTCTCGCCGCTTCTGCTCCGTCCCTGGGGGGGCTCGCATCCCTCATCACCCGTCGTCGGCACGGCGCCGCCGTGACTCTGGTCACACCTCCCTCCGTCTGCTTCGAGTGGGTGGGGGGGGGAGCGATGGGCACAGACTGCGCCACAGAGAGAACATAAGGGCGAGGACCTTTGGTGGCGGTCCTTCGTCGCGACCCTTCTAAAGGAAGGGCTGTCCTGGCCAGCCCTCCCAAGCATTTAGAAAGCAAACGCGTCCAGACCACCAAACGGGCAAACCGCCTGCCTGATACATCCCCAGAACCTGAACACGAAAGGAGGAGTGAACAATCGTCCCTGGCGGCTCCCCCTTGGCATGCTGAAGCCAGCAAATCGCTAGGGACACCCTCACAATCGACGCGGAAAGCAAACACGTCCAAACCACCAAACAGGCACACCGCCTGATACATCCCCGCAAATCTGAATGTGAACGGGGGGGAAGCCACCCCCGCCATCTCCCCTTGAGGTGCTGAGGCCAGACAATCGCTTGAGGAACCTTCACCATCTGCTCCGAAAGCAAACAAGTCCGAGCCACCAGCCAGGCAAACCGCCTGAGACACCCCCACACTCTGAATACGAGCGGGGGGAATAAAACCACCCCTGGTGGCTCGCCTTTGGGGTGCTGGAGCCAGCAAGTCGCTAGAGACACCCTCACAACCTGCTCCGAATGCAGACGCATCCAAGCCACCAAACAGGCAACCCGCATGAGACAATCCCAAAATCCGAATACGAAACCAGACAATCCCAAAATCCGAATATGAATCCATCAAACAGGCAAACCGCCTGAGACATCCTCGCACTCCGAATGCGAACGGGGGAACCATCCCTGGCACCTCCCCTTGGGGTGCTGAGGCCGGAAACTCGCCTGAAACACCATCACAACCTGCTCCGAAAGCAAAACATCCAAGCCACTAAACCGGCAACCCGTCTGAGAAACTCCCACACACTGAACAAGAACGGGGGAGTGACCCCCTCCGGGGTGCTGAAGCAGGAGCATCGCGTGACACATCCTCACAACATGCTCCGAACGCAGACACGTCCAAGCCAACAAACAGTCAAACTGCCTGGGACAACTCCACACTCCGAGCGCGAGGGAATAAAACCACCCCTGGCGGCTCTCGTTTAGGGCTCTGACACGAGCACAACGTCTGATGCATCCTTATACCCTCAGCGCGAACGGGTCCGTTCAACCACCCCTGGCGGCTCCCCCCATCGGGGTGCTTGAACCAGCGACTCTCTTGAGGCATCCTTACAAGTTCAGTGTGAGGCGCACCTGTGTGAGTCGTCCGTGCTATGTGCAAGTAGGTCCTAGTCTGAGTGAGTCTATTTGTGAGTAACTCTGAGTGCGAAGGAACCTGAGTGTGAGATGCGAGTCTGAGTGCGAGTGAGCCTGAACGCAGGTGAGGAGAAGGAGAAAGGAATGCATGCGAATGGAGTCTTCGGCGTCTACGTATGTACAACAAGTCTGGGGACACAGGGAACAAGTATGATCCGTTCCTCCCAACCTCCTCCTCCTCCAGGCCTCCCTCCCTCTTCCCCCTCCCCCATCTCCAACGCGCCTGCTCGTTGACGAGCTGGCTGTCGGACCTGTAGCTCTCCTCCAGCCTGCCGACCAAATCCTGGGCGGGCAGGGGGGGGCAGGGGAAACCCCAACGGGTACCTCTTTTTCTTCCGCCTGCCCCATCATCCCTCCTTCTCCTCCTCCTCCTCCTCCTCCTCCTGGTTATCCTCCTCCTCTTCCTCTCATCCTCCCTTCTCTCCATCACTCCCTCCACCCCCATCTGCTACTCATCCGCATTGCCCAGAGTAAGGAATCGAGATCACGGTTAAAACGAAGAGGATGATGAGGTCACAAGTTCCAATATCCATCAAAAGAGCTGGCTAGACTCATTCCTCTCCCCATCTCGTCCTCCTTGTCTCCATCCGCCATCGTGCCGCAGGCATGGATTGGAATGTCATCGGGCTCGATAAGAAGCACCCATGCTACAGATTCTACCACACTCTTCCGAAGGCCCTGTTCCTGGACTCCTGGACATCTCGGACGCTCTCGGGCGTTTTGAGGGCACAACGTGACCTTTCCCGAGGGCCTCGCACCGCTCTCGGGGGCCCCACGCTTCCGATGTTGTTCGATTGTCCGGGCCGTGCTGGAGCCGTCTTGGGGTCAGCTGCCCCCCCCACCCCAATAGGCGACATCACTGAAACGCCTTATGTTCTTTTTATGGGCCAGCTCGATGTCTCAGCTTCTCAGTCGTAAGAGCGTTCAAGAAGACCACAGGCGCTCCAGATCTCCACAAGCTGGCCTCCGAGTCACCCGGGAGGGTCCAAGAAACTCCCCGAATGGCCCCAAACAAGGGCCTCAAGAACACGCCAGCGCCGCGCTGCGAAGCCACACCTCCAAAGAGGCCCCGAGATCCCTGCAAAAGGCCTTCGAAGCGATCCCAAGAAGACTCCAACAGGCCCCTAAGAGGATCCACAAGAGATCCCAAGGGACCTTTAAGAGGCCTCGTGCCCACAACCCAGGGACTGTGGCGGGATGGATCTGAACCACTAGACAGTCGTCGTCACGTCATCAGCGCCATCGCAGTCGCGGCATCCCATCATCCTCATCACCCCTGCTCAACATAGCTCCCACGCGCTCAGCCATTGCACGACGTCCTACTAAAATGTGTGGCGCGTCTGAAATATGTGGCACGTGGTGCCGGACACGGAAATGGAAGGGCAGCCGCACGTAGGCGACACTAAGTGTAAAGGCCTGTCTCAAACACGCAACTCCCCGCATCCTTCGGTCCCCATTCACGGAGATTGTCATTATGATCAATTCCCCAACACTGTCCTCCTCAGCGTACCTTCGATCTCCCCATAATCAGCATCACCACCATCACCGTCATCAACACTACCATCATGATCACCAGCACCGTCGTCATTACTATCATCATCGGCATCAGCGCTACCATCGCCACCATCAGGCATTATCATCACTTATCGCCATCGTAATCTTCATCACCACCATGGTCATATTATCGTCACCACCACCATCATATCAGACGCTCGTTTTTCCTAAACATCCCATGCATGAGGTGTGCGGAAAAAAAAGCTGGCCAAAGGGGGGCCGAAGGCGTCGGAGCGCAGCGGTGCTGATTCTGCCGCGCGGCTTCACAACACCCCGATATCAGAGAGCTCTCGACCTGTTCAAAAGCTGTTTGCGAGGGTGGGAGCGAGGGGTGGGTGGGGTAGGGCGAATAAGCTGTATACGATTTCCTTCTACTATAATACGCGCTGGGCTCACATGGTATCCAACGCTCGTTTTCCAAAACGCCCCATGCGTGAAATTTACGAAGGAAAGCTGGCCAAACGGCGGCCAGGGGCGCCGGGGCGCAGCGGTGCTGGTTCTGCCGCGAAGCCCCACAAACTCCCACAGACAGACCTCCGGCCCTGTTCCAACCTTGCCGTTCTTGCCGCGTGTCTGACATGCATCTTGTCTCCTGGGCGCGTCTGTGACACGGTCACCCAACACCCCATGCAACTGGAACGAGTTGAGCAGGCTGTTGGACACGCTGGCGGCGGCCAGGCGACATGTGGACGAAGGACAGGGCGACCGCACCCACTTGGAGTCAACGACGCATGGATTGTGGATGTTCCTCGCTACTGCCGCGCTGCAGAGGATCTGCAGTTCCCATGAAAATGTTGGAGAAAACGATGTCTCAACAAAAGACCATGCGGCGCGTCGGCCGCGAAAACAAATCGCCGACCCGTGCGTTCGACTACGCTGCGGGTCTTCGGCGCGTGCCCGCTGGGCGTGCAAAACGTGCCCCGCGATAGCCTCTAGCCCCCCACCGCCCCCCGATCGACCCCCCCCCCCAAGAGGTCACGGGCCGGCGCCCCGGCGCCGCGCGGAAAGATGGGGCGCGAGCGACCGCGCGAAGTAAAGCGCCCTGCGCCGGGCCCCGAAAAGCGCGGGATTCGCCGCTACTGCGGCTGTCGCTGCTACTTCGGCGCCGCGAGGGCAACAAACTACAGCGGGCCCATAGCCCGAAGCGCGCGCCATTGGGGATTGCCCCGACCCGGCTTGAACCACGCGGACGACAGAGCGGGGGGAGGGGGGCGGGGGACAGGGCGGGGGAGGGAGGGGGGGGGGAGAAGGGGAAAAACGAAGAAAGAACAGCGAGGAAGACGAGCAAGGGACAAGCGAGCGGGGGGGGAGAGAGGAGGAGGGAAGAGAGAAAGCGGGACAAGGCGGAGCGAGGGATAAATCGCCGCTTGCCGCCCCGGCGTCCCTGCCGATTTCTGCAAGACGCACCGCTTAAGAATCTCCGGTTCCTTCAGCATCGATCGGTGCGGGAAGTTTGATTGCTCCATGCTGGCCCTTGAGACGCGCGTCAGCTCGAGCACTGCTAGCGTATCTGGTTGATGGCCGACGACGGCCCAAACGTGCTCACGCATGCAGATGCGAGCAGCTACAAGGAGAAACTGGCCTGGGCGGAGTGGTTTCTGGCCCAGACCCGCGAGGACTGGCTTCGCTTGGGAGCGAGCGCGCAAGGCGAAGGCGCTCGAATCATCGTCGTCATCGTGGTCATTATCACCGTCATCAACGCACCCTGTTCCAGTGAATTTGGGGCCGTGTTCCGTGAATTTTGGGCCACACTTCCGTTGATTTCGGGCAGTGTTCCCGTTGATTTGGGGCAGTATTCCCGTTAATTCGGGCCAATGCCCCCGTTGATCTCGGGCCTTGTTCCCGTTAATTTTGGGGCATCTTCCCGTTGATTTCTGCCCCCCAAAAGCTGCGTCCGCACAGGGTTCCGGCGGCGCCCCCGTCAATGCGTCCTGGGAGCGTCACCGCTAGCAGGTTGGGGGGGCGTTCCAGTTAACCGTTCCAGGGGCGGCCCCCCCAGACGGCACCCCGTGAGTCGCAGCCCGTTCCTTGCAGGTTACATCGCAAGGGAAATCATGGGAGCGGTGTCGTGGGAGCAGCATTTGGACAGCCGCGCCGCGCGGACCAGGCGACGGCGGACATGAGTGGGGGGTCAGCCCATCCACGGGCGCGGCCTTGGGCCGAGTGGGGCTCTAGCTCCGACGGGCGAACGGTGCCCGACCCCGTCTTCGAATGAGACTCTTCGCCCGGGATCGATCCACGAGGCGTCGGGCGCTACAGACAGGGTAAGAAAAAGGCCAGATCGGGAATTCTCGACCCCGTGCACTCACGAGTGGCATCGTGCAGGATTGATCCGCGAAGGGTCGACCGTGTCGCGCCCGCGCGGGCGCCCCCCCCTTTCTCGCGCCTGCCTCGCCGAACTCCCGCCCTCCCACCTCCGCCGCGCGCGGCCGCTCCGGCGCGAGGAGCGCGAGCGCCCGGCCCGCCCCCCGCGCGGGCGCAGGGCCCCCCTCCCGCCCCCGCGCAGCCAGCCAACTGCGATGCGGACGCGGGCGGCGGCGCTGGCGGCGGCCAGATGGCCGTGGAGGAGGTCGAGGGCAACGCGGGGCTCGACGGGGCAGCCCGAACAGCGCGTTGTCGCCGACGCTTGAAAACGCGCGGCGCGAGAATGGGGCGCGGCACGCATCGCGCGAGAGGAAACGAAACGTCGCTTTCGCCTCGGCGCCGCGGACCTTCGGCCCTCGGCAGCGGACTCGAAATGCCGAAACGCACCCCGCCGACAAATGCCACCAGAGAGCCGCGCGCCGCGGCCCCGTAAATCGAATGCCGACGCCCGCCCCGCGCGAGGATGCAACGCGGAGGACGCGTTAAGCAAGCCCTCGCATCAGAGGCCAAGCTCCGCTCTGCGCGAGGACGGCCTGACGGACCAACAAGACGCGGGCCGCCGCTAAATTATGGCACCCCCCAGGGCCGCGAGGAAACCGCGCGTTTTCCGGGGGCGCCGCGCGGTTGCGCGGCGCCCCGAAACGACGCCGCGCGTCGCCGAGAAAAACAAAGGAAGCAGGCGCACTAGGGCAACGCACAAACAGAAATCGAATACGAGTTGAATGCGTCAGCAGAGTCGCGATCCCCCCAGCGCCCGCGGCACTGTGGCAGCCCCAGGTTCTGAAACGAGCGAAACGAAGAATGGCTCCACCCCCATCGCAGCGATTAGGGGGCGTGGAGTGAGTTGGGGGCGTTGACGAGGCCCTAGAGGCAGCTTGGGTCAGTCCGCGCAGCTCAACGCCGCCGTCGGCGAGAAGGGGCCGAAGACGCGCCCCATGAATTTCAGCGGCGCAGGATCGTCGACCAAGACGCCCTAGAACTTCGGCCCGCTGTCGGATGTCTTAGCGAAGAGCAGCACAAGCAGCGCGCCCGCGTTGACGTCGCCCACAAGGCCCCCAGGCAAGAGGAGGCGCTGCCCGAGGGCATTCGCGACCTCGCTGGGCCGTCGCAGCGGGTGGAAGGCGACTGCCCCACCTAAGTGCCCGGGCGGCGACGGCCACCGCCGTGGGCGCCTCGGCGCGCGCGGGAGCGCGCGCCCCGACTGGCTCGAATTTGAGCCAGCGAGACACGGCGGCCCAGGCTGGGCGCAGTTGGCCGCGCCTCTGGGGCCAGCGAAAGTGGGCCAACCAGGGTCTCGGATCCAAGACTACGGCGCCTTCGCGTTGTAGAAGTACTGCGTGCATGCGGCGAGGGTGGCGTTGAGCA